GATACGCTGCGATTACTAAATGATAGAAGCATCTACTTACAACCCGAGCGATCCGGTTCTCATGAAATGTCGTAGGAAGCTACCTACCTTGAGCAATGCGGGGTATGAAGGGTCGAAGTGAGAATTTAAAGCAAGAACATTGAAGCTACCCCTGAAAGCCACTAAGCCGGAAGTAGTCTAAAGCTTTACTTGAATTTTTCTGACTACATTGAAAACATCACCAATCACAATCAACGCCAGTAGCATATCATTTTGAAATCAATTCGGGCGAGAAAGAGCCATGTGAATTTCACATGGATGTAACCCTAACCCACTTTCGGCGTAAGATATGTGACGACAATAAGGCTAATGACGCGCTCAGGATGTAGTCATCCTTCTTGGCGTTCAACGAGAGCCCGCTTTCCAGATATGGAAGTGGCTTTCGACGCCAATCATACCCTGTCGCAGATCAATCCTTAATGGACCCCTAGCTTTCCCGATCAATCATTAAGGGATACATAGCGACTCGTCCATTGTCACTTGGATGTTACCCTATAGTTTATAATGGAGTATATTCAGCATTGGTTCTATTCAATTCTGTTGCACATCTGAAAGGCTAATACGGTAAGCCTGGAGACAAGGAGTCAGGGAGTCAGGAATAAACGGTGATTCTACACACAAGGTTGAAAAACCAGTCGACCCATTCATATCGACGGAGTGCACGCGTGTCCCAATATTGATAATTCGACTATCAATTGTTGTTGCACATCAGCTTTCTCCTTCATCACGTTATTGGCTAGAGGTTCTCTGTTGGCCATCTGCCGAAATGCCTACGTCTAGCTTCAGCCAGTTGGCGTCTCCTGTGGCTTTATGAACCATTTAGCTCTTTCAAAGAAACAAGCGAATTGGCCATGTATTAGCGATAAAAGCTAACATCATAATTCCCACCAATACACGCCTCCTCTCTAGCCCCTCCTCATTTCTCCTATCCCAAATTTATATTCTTCCCCGCCCCCACGGGCAATTTACACCTCAACATGACCCCCGGTTTAACCCTCCGATCAACCCCTTCATTACAATTCGGCTGATACGGCAACTGATTAACGTTCCAATAAATGTAACCATCAAACCCAACATTCGCGCTATCGGGCCAGATAATTCGCGGATCTCTTACAAATGGTACTGCTTGCGATATGGTGCTGTTCCAGATGTAGATTGCGTTTGAGGAGGGCATGAGCATGTAGATGTTGCCCAGAGAATCGGATGCGAAGCCATTAGCATTCCCGCCACGTTGGCCAAGATTCTGGACGTTGTCCATTGCGAGTTTGGAGGCGATAGGTGAGGTGGAAGGGTTGCTTAAGAGGTAGGAAGTGGGGATGCTGTAGAGAGTGTTAGATGTCAGAGGGGAATAGTAGAGGACCTGCAGTTCGTAAGTAATTATTCCCGTCATGAAATTACAGTAAAGCAGAAGATAAACAGAGGATCTTCATACGTCACCCCACAACCCTAACTCCAACCCGTCCAATCCCTCCTGCTGAAACCCCACTCCCATCCCTGTCTCTCTTAGATAGAACGGCAGTCCATTATAACTCGGTACATCCTCCTGCACCCTCAAAACACTCTTATGCTGATTCAACATCCTCCAACTCTCTCCAGTTCCCAAATCCAATATGATAAAACCATTTCTCCCCTCATTACTCGAATCAACTAAATATGCAACCCCGCCCCCTGACTCTGTGATATTTTTGCGTTGATCAAACCTTAGATCATTAAGATAAGAGTCCGGGTAGTGAACACTGGATGGAAATGTGTATGTGCGAGTTATAGAATTATTAGATAGATTGATTGCGACTAATTTCGGACCTCCAGAAACAGCATATGGCATACTGGGGGCTTGACTCTCATTGATTGTCGGACGCCCAGTATCGAGAACCCACAGCGTATCATCGGGTGTTATAAAAAGTGCTTGGACTGAAATGAAATAATCCTGGAGTGATGAACCGAATTGTATGCCATTTGATTCGCTGTAGAGACCTCCTGGAGGAGTGTTCAGCTGCAGGGAAGGATATGCAGTTTCCGCAGTTTGATTAATTACTTCTCCGAGTGTGTAGGCGTAGGTGCCGCGTGTGTAGCATGTGAAGACTCGGCCAGTTTTGGAGATCGCCAGCCCAATAGGCCATTGATCATAGAAATAATGGTATTCTTCTACTGGGGGCCCATAGCTACCTGTGTCGTATCGTAGGTTGTGAGGTCCTGCATAGCCAAATGTTCCGTTCAAAGTAGTGTCACCGGAACTAGGGATGTTTTGTGTAGTTCCACACTGTAGGAGGCTTACGGCTGTGAGAATCGCGGAGAGCTTCATTTTACTCTAGTAATAGTAGGATATTAAACATAGACAATGAACCACAATTTTCCTTATCAATTCTTTCACTCGAAATGGTTGAGAACACTCGCGAATGAATGTTTTGTACAAATATAAGCAATCGCTCTTCCGATCGAGGAATAACATCGCAAATTTATCAGTACGATGAGGAAGCACTGCTCATTCATTTATCAAGCAAGCTTTTAAGCTTTTGCTAAGAAGATCTCTTGAGATAATGACGTGTAGAGGCGGGAGCTAGAGGGGTGGTCCGCTAGTGTATAACTCTATACGTAGGAGTAGTAATTTAGTATGATTGTGGGGTAAAATTGAAATGCATCGAAAACACAATATTTTTCGAATAATGCAACGGACTTTGTGTTCGGGAAAGGCGGCAATATCAGCGAATGAGATTTTGAAGTACGTAGAAGATACGAAATGTGGAGAAATAAATGTGATAATGTATTAAATTCTGTCTCAACCTACAACAGTAGCTAGCCCAGCAAGCTCTGTATATACCCCCTATTGCTTATCCAAGCAATGTATTCCAAAATATCCTTTACTCCAACGCAAATCATCCAAACAAGATTAAGCCCACATACATTTTGCCGAGTCCAAATAGCTCTCTCTAACACCATAGAGACTACTCAGATCATCAGCATAAGTTTCATCGTGCAATTTTTGCTTCAACAGCGCGGACTCATGTCTCTTCAACATTACATTCCATGAGAACATCGAATGGCCTACGCCAGCAAAATATTCACCCCGCAAGACCACCAGGTAGTCAATTAAAGCTCTCTGGTCCCATCTCAGATGAGACAACTCTTCTCGCTCGTGGTTCTTTAGAAGATCCTCTTTGTGGGTGACATCAATGCCATAAGTTTTAGCTTCAACTGCCAATTTATGAGTAGAATCAATATCACCTGAGGCAGCGTATATGAGTGGCGTTTTCATCGACTTAGCCAGTGCGATGTATGCTTCGGCTTGACCATGGTAGTGCATAAATGGAGCGGCAGCAACATGTCGCTTCTCGATTTCCTCCGGCTCAGTCTTCAAATGCACGCCTAAGAATGAAGGGGTAACAATTGTGGAGCTGACATTAAGTGGTACATCATACCAATTTGAAATTTCGCGTAGGGTCGAGGTTGCAAGGCGACGAACATCGGGTCGGAATTTCATTATTTGTCCAAACTCATGAGCGAAGACATGGCCATCGGCATGAGTTGGGTATTGAAGATTTGATTGTTCCAGATCCACAACTATTGGTATCGATTGTGGTGTTGGTGACATCCATTTCTCAATCCAAACATGTAACTTTTCCTGCCATTCCTCTGGATGTTCTAATCCACTTGTTGGTCGATTGATAAATAAACTCTCAGGCTGAAGCCCGCGTCTTCTTTCATTGACTGTTTGTTCCATATGATCGATGATGTTCAATTCAGGACATGACATCTTCAAAGATTTTTTGAAATGATCCGCATCAAACATATAATCCAGACCCTTCCAGCCAAGCCCATGCCGTTTGCCCATGTGAGATTTCTCCCCTTCCTCGCTGGGCATCATGTTCAAGTCCTGAATATCCTCCCTCAACTTGATATTTGGCATAACCAAGCTACCACCTGCACCAATTGCATATCGCACGCAATTGAGTATGGAGTTTCGCACATGTCCAACTCCTCCTTGATTGCTATCGCATGTAAATATGACGCTCGAGTTCCACGTTTGTGTCGCACAAACTGCTCTCATAACCTCGGAATTGACATGCGGGAAATCGAATACATCTTTTTGGTCTAAGGTGGCAGCAGGTATGTTCGTTTGCGGGCCACCCGGATTGGCATTCCAGATGATATGTGTAGGTATAACTTGAGGACGGTCGAAAGCAAACCAAAGCCAGGCCAAACCTAGGGCGAAGCCTGCTAAGACGGCATATTTGCGATTGACACCAGTTGGAAGCTGCATTTTTCTTGTAATTTGTGAGGCGATATTCGATTAAGAAAATGAAGGGAAAACATCTCGAAGGTCGACATTTTGAATGAGTCTGAAGTTGTGCTTTGATCTTGGTGGCTCAGGGAGAGACTGTGCGAGGTGTGTTTTAAGAAAGATGTTTAGACTTCCTGATGACCAATCACAAGAGGGCCCGCTTTGACTTGAAACCCCAATGAAGACGACGAGACTGCCTTGAAGACATTGTTTTTCTTTTTTGTTCATTCTTTTTGAGTTTCAAACTGTTCAAGCAGTGTATGAATACTCCGTGGTCAAATAATAAATAAGGGTTGTGAGTGGAGCTTCTGCTAGGTAGCTAAAGTTGAACACAAATCTCGGCGAGGGGTTAATTCGTCTCCAGTGAGGAGTAGACCTCATCCGGGAATCAGTTAACTTGTTTCAATCGTTCACGCTTTTTGCCTCAGCTGAGATCTATTGAACTCCACAAAGCATGTATTACATGTAAGAGATTATATCTGCAATATTTGATTATTCAAACCTCCTTGAATATATGTACCCCTTATTATTACAAAAAGCGTCACTCCCAAATCCAAAGCCAAATCCAAATCCAAATCTAATCAACGCTATCTAAGCCTTTAATACACACATGTTGCCTCTATTACATACCGAAATGACCACACCACGAATCCCCCAATACCCCACAAAAATTATTCCTGCATTAAAGTTCCTCATCGACTACCCGATTCACATCTTCGTGAATGGTGCTCTCATCCTTCTTTACACTGACTGACAAAGTTAGAAGTCCAGCGGCGGCATATGCAACTGCAGCAACTAGAAATCCCCCTCCACTCCACAATCCTCCTCTTTTTAAACCCGAGCTGAAAGCCCCTGCTACTAACGGACTACTAACCATTCCGCCAATCGTATCCATAACGGCGAGAACACCGTATAATCGACTGACTTGTGTTGGGTCCACCAAGTCAGTGAGAAGAGATCGAATAGCTGGGTATAGACCCATTCCAAGAGAAAAAATGATCGTTGCTACTCTCGTTAGTCATCACATTCAGTATCATGATTCATTGACAGTTGAAAGGAAGTTCAGAGGCACTGGAATAGTAACGACTTACAAATGACGAATAGACCTCGAGCGGGGGATATTGAAAGCCCGAGTGCCCCCAAAGCCATGAGCAAAGCAGAGCCTCGACTAACCATCAGATCCTTCACAGCAGCTTGCAAATGGAATCTCGACAGGATAGCGTAAATCGCAGGGAGAACGAGTACCAATTGAACAAAGTTTGTGATTGAAGCGAGAGGAATGAGAAAACTTGCCTACGGTATTACGTCAGTATATGAGAATTGAAGGAACAGGCAGCACATACATCAGCAAGTGTCCAGCCCAGTCTTTTCGAGGCAAGCTGAAGAAGAAACTGGTTCATAATTCCATGCAAGGACTGGACCAAAAATGTAGCAGAGAGTGCGAGCAGTTTTGGGTTTGTGAAAACGAAACGGGATTCCTCCAAATTTTCAAGAAGCATCGACCAGTTCTTTTTAGAGAATGTCATTGCCCCTTCGTCATCGCTGGAGCTACTTTCATCTTCCATTGCTTCTCCTCGTGCTTGATTAGGATCTGGTGAAGAAATACTTAGGTGTTCCCTTAGATGCAATGTTTCCGGAAGAACAAGGACAAGTAGAGCACCTAGCAATACAAACAAAACAGCTGCCATCATAGGAACCCTTAGGCTTGAGACTTTTATAAGCCACCAAGCCAATGGTACACCAGCTAAAGTGGCTATTAAAGAAGCTGCCACAATTTGAAAGAAAACTGTAGCCCTGTATGTCTTTCATTAGCATAAAGTGTGTCAAAACAAGGGTCATTGGATTGCACGTACCTTTGTTCTTCGGCGACTACATCGGCGATAATGGTATAGTACATAGTTCTCGTCACCGCGGAGCCGCCTCCAATCAATGTGAATAAATTTGCCGACCAAATCCATCTTATATCAAAAAAGGTATCAAAATAGCCTGTACCAATTAGCATCGCAGGACCTAACCTGATAGCCAGCCAATCATCTCGTCTCAACTCTTATAAATCCAGAAACTCACAAATAACCTGAACCCAGACCAAGCCCAGACCTATACCTATCAAACTCATAAACAACACAGCCTTCCTCCCAATTTTATCCGCTAACACTCCAAACGGTACCGACATGATCAGACCTGGAATACAAGCAAGAGTTCCATCCCACCCTTTCAACATCGCCAATTTTCCTTGGATAACATCATTCTTGCAATGACTTTCCGGAATCGAAAGTCGAGGCGCTTCACTAAATCCAGAGAGAGGAGCAGATGAATAATAATCTCGACATATTATATCTTCAAGCGTCCGAGCCAGCGGTGCTTGGAGCATATAATCGCCTATTTCAACAAGTAATACAGAGAGAATAACAATGACAGAAACGCGAATAGCTATAGTTTGACGCGAGAGTAATGCATCGTGATCAGTAGTGGTATGAATAGATCGTGTAGGTAATTTGGGTAACAAAGGGGTCGTCTCTTCGGAACGAGTCGGTTCGGGAGCCATATTGATCGGAAAAAGTATGGGGAATAAAGACCCCAAACTTAAGCCACGATGGCACAGAAACGGGCCACACAAGATATATGTACTCAGGATTCTGGATTCTAGACGTCGGAGTTCGGTATACAATTGTTAACAATTTCCGGGTTTTACTCCGAATTGTGGATACGTGTCGATAAGCACTTTATCCTACTATTCCGACATACTTATCTGGGATTTCATAGGGCTATTATAACGTATCAGAGCATTGAGATCGTGAATATGTAAAAACAAGAAACTTGTTTCTATACTTCAAAAGCGCATCATAATTTCTGCCAGCAATCACTGCAGTCGAAGGGAAGGATCAGGCCTTCACATCCCATTACGCGCGGATGGCATTCGAGAAACAATCGTTCATTCGCGGAGTTGAAAGCACTAGCCAAAACATCCCAAAAATCTTCATTTTGGCAGCTTTTTAACCCTCTGATAGATATCTTGATACAAGCTTCAAGTGGCTGATTGAAATTGATATAGAGAGTAGGTATGCAGTCAAAACGGCGAGGCTGGGTGGAGTAGCAATTCACGGCCAATCAAAGAGCTCCCCAAGGCCAGATAAGCCTCAACCAGGATCGCGTCAGGATCCATCAAGGGGGTGACGTCGAACACGATTGCGCATTGCACCTTCATCATCAACTGTCGTAAACTCATTGGAATAGGAGGCCTCTAGAATTTAGAATTCTTTGACGCGCAAAAGAGTAAATTCCTCAGATTCGGAGACTAGACAGCTTAGCTGTCTTAATAATCCACAACGCTTCATGTGCTAGCACCAATAAGCGTCCTTGAACGAAACATTTGCGACGAAATACAGAACTATTTACCCTTCAGACATGAAGCAAGTAACATAGGTATTCATCACTCTCTTTTATACCCCTCGACCCTTGAATGAAAGCTAAGCTGGTCCTTTTAGATTTCCCAAAAACACAACGAGCACCGCGCAATAAGCACTCGTTCCAACGAAGATCTCCTGAGTCCCCGCATCCGTAAGTAGACTTATCATGACGCTGAAGAGAAATACGAATGCGAGCGCGGCAAATGCCATCCACCCTGCCTCCATCGTTATCCTCAAAAAGAGAATCACGGGTATGAGCAGTATTAAGACTGTCATACAAACAACCAGTAGTTTGGAAAACAAACTGATACGGAAAGTAGAAAAGAACTTGACGGTCTTTTCTGTAGGGTTGTTGCGTTTAGGCGTGGCGAGCAAGTACTTCTGAATTGTTTGTTAGCTGATTGCAGCGCATAGTCCAGGATTTGGGAAGTGCAAAGGATAGAACCAACTTGAAACCACGATATTGGCCGGGTATTCAAATTATCTTCAACAAATCTTTCCAATCGGTTGCTCTGTGGGGTAACGAGTGAGATGAAATCCTCCGGTTGACGCATATATTCGCATTGTTCGAGATCCACCAGCTTCTCCCCGCAAAACCATCTATAAACAGACAGGTGATCTTTCTCTGATGTCGGCGAAAATGATTTCAACTTCTGGAATTGTACCAAAAGTGCACCTTCTATAGTGTTAACTTGAGACAAAACAAAGCAACCAGGAGTTATGATTTACCATAAGCAAGTAACTCTTCATTCAAACTCAGAATTACCTTCTCTTGCTCAAGCTCAAGTTCCAGAGCTTCAGCTTGAGAAATGTCTCTGAGTCTGTCCGATGCATCTCCGTTTCTGGCATCACCCAGATCTAAATCATGAAGTTTTTTATGTGGTGCTACGATCCTGTTCGTTCGGAATAATAACACTCTTTGTGTGAAGAGATGCGAACCCACGATAGATACTGAAACTATCGCAACTCTCAAGAAAGCTTGCGACTTGTGACCACCCTTTTGGCTGGTCCAGGTCTACAATGATAATCAAATTGATGTCTGATTGATGGATTGAAGAAACTCACAACACGGATATTCCAGTTTATCATATTCAACTCGGTAAACATTTGCTCGCGGCGTTCGTTCGACTGGAAAGATATTTTTGATCGAGTTGATACATCTTGCGAGTCTATGCCGCCATAGCGATAAACCAGACTTACACGGGATTTCTAAAAAAAAAAAAAAACATTAGCTGAAATCTACGTGAGGGTTGTAATATTGGGTACTTTGATGAGAGGACGCAAGTCATTCTACGTCTGTCGTTATCGAATACAGGGGGGTAAGCGGCCTGCTAGTCGTCCCTTCATTGAAGGAGGGGCCTGCCATTGGATGCATTTCGAAGCGGCTGTCAAGACCCTGCTCGGCCATATCTTGAGTTCCCGAATAGGCATGTGACCTGGAATTTGTTCGCTCTGAATTCAACGTGGATAGAGACATCTTGAAATGTGAAATTGAGCATTTCAAGGAAATTTCAAAGGCCAGCATGGAGCCTTATTTTCTACTCCTTCTCGGGTGGAAATATTGAGGGGTGTATGCAAGGCAGAACATGATGCTGATTTCCAAATACTCATGAGTCGACTCCCGTCTCCTATCTTCCTCTCATGTTGTATCCTAACTACGTAGCATCAGGCTCGAACAACATGGTAAGCCGCCACGGGGCTATGTGCGTGCAACCCGAATCTGCAAACACATTACCCTGAAATCAAGTATTGGTAGAATGATATATATCGGTGAACCATACCGAGTTCTCTACACTGTACAAGTACTATAACCGGACGAAGATGCTTTGGTGTTGTCGAACATCATCCAATGACTGGACAATCATCATGTATCATCACATTGTGCTTCCTCTCTTATGCATCTGAGCTGTAAGCTGCGAGTATCGATATTGTTTTACCCTATCCACCGATACGAGGGCGAAATCCCGCATCAATTCTCTAGCCTCGATGATGGCATTTTTGCCAATTTTGAAAACAGTTGGCACACAAGGACAGCAATATTCAAGGTTTGAAAAAATTCTACCACTCAAGCCGCGTGATCAAAATTTTGAGTACTACTTGAATGATACCTAGCGTCCCCGGAATCTTCATTATCTCTTAAAATAAGAAGGGAAGAAAAACGTCAGGTCAGCGATTCCTTCTAACCATCGAATTTTTCGAAGTGGTGCATAAAGCCTTGCTCCGTACAACAGAGAAGTATTGTGCGACAGATACATGTGATGAGGCTCAGCGAGGATTCTCATGTCACCTCGGGAATTTGAACCTCACATTACCACGAAAGCAACACAACACAGGTATTCACGATCCAGAGATCATCGAAACATTGATTATGTCGATAATCGCGTAAAGTCAACCCGTCTTCTCACTCTCCCCTATCGCATAATGCGATTGAAACTCTCACACCTCAACCATACTCGACAAACGCGCATCCATAAGCGCGGTGCCTTGTACGAATTCTTCCTCGATATTCAACAGAACTACTGTCCATCTGCCACCTCGATACGCTGTTTTGATCTCTCCATCGAAACGATATCGATCCCAGCTGAGAAGGTTCTAAGCGACAGTATGCTCGACGAATCATCTGATTGCGACGACTTGAATTGAGTATTCCAATCAGATACAAGTAAAGGGTGGGCAAGGGGGGAATACGCCATCGCTTTGGCTTCCATTCTGATCGCTCCAATGACATGTCCGGCCGTTATCTATACATTTCCAATCGTTCTGCATTGATAGATAATACTTTCGACAAGGATAGCATCTCCCCGCTGTTGTTATTTAGAAGTCTCACTCGCACATGCCGCGGCTACCTGGTGCTAAGTTTGCCATCTCTCGACTTTCAATTCTCAAGATATCTCGAAAACTTTCTCTCGTCATGGCAACCTCCCTACTGGGTACCTTCATCACAGATTCTATACTACAATTGCAGAACAGATTTTAGCTCATGGAAACACTTGTCTATGACAGAACATGGATAGCTTCCCAAGCAGTGCTGGGTTTGTTAAAGAAAAGTCAGATGTATTACTCAAGCACATCATCCACAGACACATCTTCTCATATAAAACTCCGATGGATATTCAAGAGGAAGTTTCATAACTAGCGACATCTTCGCTAGAAGTTGCCTCTTCACTGAAAAATTATTTGTTCGAGATATAGCACCTAAGAGGTATGAAAGATGATGTTCCCTTGAGAGATTCTTATCTAGCAATGTGTGAAAGTTCTATCTCTATCGTTTATTCCTTTCCTTTATCTATTCCTACTCCCGCAGAATGTTACAGTCAACCCGTCCAATCCCTTCTAGTACAGTTACACCTTTGATGCGCGCCGCCCGACGAGTATTGTTGTGTTGTGCCCCACCAAAGTTTCGAGCTCTATGGTTAATGCGGATCTGGTCAAGCTCAAGTTAGAGTGCGATACACCAAGCTGTTTGGAAGGAAGTACTTGCCGTGACGGACCAACAAATTTTTAGGTCATGGCAGAATGTTCGTAAAGCTATGCGAAGCGGGAGTGGGGTTTGGGGAACTTTGACAATTAGTTCGAGGTAATGAAAGACGAGATGCAGATCAACTCACTCCAATGACAGGTTCATCTACCGTACCGATAGTACCTGTTGTGCAGGCTTCCATCGCTGGGACCTCTATGGATAGGATAGACATCTTGATGAAGCTAGCGTTGAGATCTTTTGGAGTGAGTCGTGGGAGGAAATGGAAGTGGGGTTATTCTTCGATCTTGACTGTAATGATTTGGAGATGTGAAAGAGTTTAAGAGTGAAGGAGGAATGGTTGGGATATGCTGATATATATATATAGTGGCATAACAACTGGCGATTAGAAGAATACTCGTACGGCAAAAATTTACTCGAATGACCCTAGATGCACATACTACATGAGGACTGACCTGTTTTTCTTCGCTTCGGGTTTCCATTTCTGGCTGATCAGTATCAAAAAGAGAAATGGCTCAGGGGGAAAGGAGAACGCTCAACACACCAATGCACTTCCCGCGAACAAAAGTCACAGTTCTAAAAGTAAATACGAGCTCTGTGTGTTGGAAACGAGCATGGCAGACTTTCAAATACTTTTTTTTCTTTCTTTTTTTTTTAAAAAAAAACAAAGAGATTCCATTCAAAGAATTCAGACCATTTCGACGGCATTTGAGTGATAAACAATTGCGGAAACGAGTGACCTGGGTCTGCAATTTGGATTGCCAATGTCGTCGTCATCTCGTTCTACGTATAAATCTTTCAGAGACTTGAGGAAACGCCTACTCCGTGACAACAGCCAAGTTTCATAAGTCACCCCTTTTTCTTACCAATCTGCAGTATCAGTTCTTGCAGGTCGAGTGCAAGGCTTCTCTAGTGGAGAATGAAGATGTTTTTAATTTACACAATACATCCACCATACCCTATCAACCTTAGAATCTTTGAATGCAGGTACGTATGCTATGAGGGAATTTTCTCAAAGCTACTGCCGATTATAAGAAAATAGTCGGTGTGAGTAGTAGGCAAACCCCACCAGTTCCAGGATGTCTGTTCGGTAGGTATCGTCGCCCTCCCATTCGATGGGACCTTAGGGATTGATTGATCAATTCCCCTCAAAGCTAAGTCTCCATAATGGTTAGTTGGAGGTCGAGTGATACGAGAAACCACATAGTGACTACTGAGGTATGCTGGTTCGTCGGTGATGGAATCAGTGGTCTAGAACTGTATCAAGATTGTGGTGGCGAAACGAAGCTGTTTACCGGGATGTTAAACAAAGATTGAATGAATGGCCTTAAGTCATTCATAAGCTACAACAAAGGAGCTAGTCTCATAGCAAGGCCTATTTAAGGCTTGCTTCTTCCTGTACTTAGCTAGCTCCGTTAGAAAGAATACACATTGACAACCAGAGCCTACATTTTAGGTTCTACGTCATCTGTATCACTCTCAAACCAACAGTCGTCTTGGTCTGTCACCCGCGAGGCTTGCTATTGGGAAACGTTCATTTTATTGCCTCTAAATTTCCCCATGTAAATCCAGTGATATATGAATAAACTGTCTACCATGTCATTTGGGAAAAGCACCCAGGTAGATTCGTTCCTAGGTATGCAATGCATCGCATCAGATTTTTTTTAAATTCTTCGGCAGGCTTGAAACGTCAAAATGTTCTGCAATCCAATGCACGAAGACGTGGTCTGATCATAACCTTAATCAAAACAAAACGCCTTGCCGCCGACCAACAGTAGGAGGAAGTTATTGGTCCAGAAATTTTCCTACCTCGCTGTTTCAGGTCCAAAGAAGGGCATACTTCCCATTTTAAGACCTCGGGCTCCACAATAGAATAATTTCTTTTCTGTTTGGAGATTTTGTATGGACGAAAACATATGTCCAATCACTACAGTCACTATTAGTTAGACATATACCTAATACCTGGAGAATTTGATGAGCTGAGCTGTTCAGACATGATACAAGACTTCGAAAACTCCGAATGAAGAAATGGCTTGCGTGAATTAGATCCTTATCTATTCTTTGGGACTCAGGTAGAGAACATTTAGGCTTGTTTATCTATTATTTAATCCATCTCCAGATGTGATGTGAAATATACCAAAGGTCAGTACTACGTGATCTGGTTCAGTATAATCAAAAGGTAATAGTTGTTTCGGTCTATTCAGATTGGGTTGTTCATCTGTGGTTGGTGTAGAATTCTTGTAGGTGCGTAGAAGAAGGATGTAGATTGAAAGGGAACCTTCTATGGAATTAACATAACCATGAATTTTCACCTCGCCGTCGCTAAAACTTCACCGACGTCAAAATCAAAGCCTCGCTAATTTCAATTGTAATTCAACCATTTTTACATAAACCATCCTATCATTTCGAGGAGTTCTCTGTCAAACCACCTTCCAAATTAATTGATTTTCATCAAATGCAAAGGAATAGGTACTTTGGGGTCTAAATCTCGAACAAAGCTAGTCCTCATCAGCGGATCTTATTTTGTTCTTCCCAATCAATTCGATCTACCCATGTCACCCCCAACGGAAATTATCCCAAAATATTGACCGTTCCTAGTCGGCCACTAACGAGAGCCGACTATTATTAGGCCACAGGTTTTTCACAAGACAATTCATATATGTATGGTACGGTATACATGTTTAATGTGGCTCGTATCTATTTTCTATTGGATGCCCCATAAGATGGTAAAATCCAGGGTGATTAGATAATGATTAGATGGAGTGGGCGTACGAATGTGTATTGAGGCTTATTGCGCCCCATTCATCAACTACCTAGGCAACCTTGGCGGAATCATCGCCGGGGCTAGCGATGCTAAACTTTATTAGTCTATCCGGTGACAACGGGGTATGGAGGTTCAATAACCAATTATGTCCATCATTTAATACGGAAAAGGAAACCCTTTCAATCTGTGACAGACTAGGCCTTGAAGAGCACAATGTTAGAACAACACATAATTCGTATTTGCTCTGCATCTAACACTTTCCAAGAAGGACAGAACAACACGGATGCATTATTTCTTTCCTCTCATTCTCTCTCCAAAGAACAACTCGACCAAGAAAAAGTTGGGGAAAGATACATAGAATCTATCTATTCAACATGGCCACCACCACAAACAATGCAATGATCAAATTACTATACACAATGTTGCAAAACAGCCGTGATCTGTAAGTTAATCAACTACTTGATTCACATTCAACCATTATACATCACAGAGACAGCAAACATTCGAATCGTCCTTAAAAACGTTGCTATTAGCACGAAGTACCAAACAAGTAGCAGCGAGACGTTTCCAGAGCGTATCTAGCCTACAACATCTCGGCAATTTGACGACTGACTCACATGGGTTGACACTACAAACTTCCAATCAATCAAAACGACTTAATGAATCAACCGCAATCAAAACAATCGAGTTCAAAAAGATTCAAAAATCTCTTCGTTTCTATTATTTTGATCCCTACTACCTACTTACCGAAGAGTATTATCTTTATCGGAATTTAGAGAAGTGGTTGAATGATTGCAAATACCCACCTACCTACCTACCTAAGTATTGAAAGATGGACAAACCAAGCCCAATCTTGATATGTATCATTCGAGTCTTTGGTCTGACGGACCCAGTGAACTGAAGCACCCCATCCAGCACTCCATCTAACAAACTACAGAGTACCATTAAAGCGCTTTGATTAAAAAATGATAATGACGTCAATCACACACTCGAGAATACTAGACGAGAAGAAAAGGGTGGGGGGCGAGCGAGAGCCCTCTCGCCCCGATCAAACTCACAGTGATCTAGAGAGTATCCTACGTTCCCAAGTTTCAGGCTCATATTCTCTAGATTATATAATAATTCGTTTATACAATGTCCATACGATATTCATATGATTGTCAAGGAGTTAGCTCTCTCTGCTGGGTAAGTGACGATGTGGATACGACCGTCAAGTCGGATTTACAACCCTGCTATGTATAGGCACCCACACAATGATCTACATTTACCTATGGTATAGTAGCACAGCAAAGCGACTTTCTCTCAAGGATAACTTATTACGCGCAAGTACCAATTTCCAAATACCACAAATGCCTCACATTTATTGTGCAAAATTCACATAGTGATTCATCTCCCATTAAATCAATTAGACAAACAATATTCTATTCAACTAACTCCATAGAGATTGCACTCTCCCTCAAAAACAACAATAATCTAGGTATCTATCTATCCATTTACTCAACAAACCCATCCCTTCCCTTTAACCTTCCTCTGCACCACCTTCCTAGCCGGCAATGGCCAACCGAGACCACCCGTCCCCTCCGCTCTCAAATAAGGCACCACCCAACACTCTCTCATTTCCTCTGCACCGCCATCATTCCCGGTCTTCTTATCCTTAACCATCACTTCCTTAATCGGTTTTCCATACTCCAACAAACTTGTCCCTTTAGCCAAACCCGCAAGTTGTCCTCCAGTAACATCCGTCAAACTATGCATTCGAGTCTTCTGTTTCTTTCTCGATCCATCTGCATTGACATCCTCAGCCGGTTTCTGCAAATACGAGTAGATAATATATTCAGGACATTCATTTGGCGAGAGGTGAGATAAAGGAGACGCAGGGTGGATATAAACTGCTTTGTCTTGTTCTTGATCTTCATCGTTGTGTTTGTTAGGAACACGGAGATGGGAGGGGAAGAGTGTAATGTAAGGAACGTCGATTGCTCTCTTGGGTTTCCTGTAAGCTTCGGGTTGTGTCGGGGATAGATCTGCTCGGATTGCGACATGATCGATGAACCCTGCAGCAACCATTTGCTTGAGTGCTTTGACTTGTTTAGCAGTGGGCGGCGCTAGTTTCTCTTCATATTTCAAAGCTGCGAATGCGGGAATATTGGTTCTCAAAAGATCTGTGATTTGACGACGCAATTGCGAGATTTCCTTGAGAGTCTTGTAGCGTACGTAGTGAGATGCACACCATGACTCTGTAGGTTCGTGGGCAAATTCACCAACAGCTTGAAGGAGTTTAATGGCATCTGATCTATCGTCAAGGAAACAGAAAGATTGGTGAACTTTGTTGAATTGACGACGGAGATTTGCGCGTGCGTCTTGTTCGATCTTTTCGGCGGTAGTGAGGTATGAGTCTTCATCCTCACGGGGAGTAGCGGCGGGAATGACTTGGTTTTCGGGAATAAATATATCGGCAGCAGAGAGACCTGCTACAAGAGCGATGGTGTAGGGAAGGCAATCGTGTAAATGTCCTACTAAAAGGATGCGAGCAAATCGTGGTGAAAGTGGGAAGATAGACATGGTAGAACCAGTTGGGGTTATTTGACCAGAAGGAGAGATTGCAGAGAGGTAAGTGAGAAGTTTTTCGGAGCTCGCAAGACTTTGTCTATCTGGAGGAGTTGGGAATGGGAAATTGACAACGTGTTGCAAATTCATGGACTTGAGTTGTAAAACCACACCTTCGATGGGCATTCGTAATATTTCCGGCTCCGCGAATTCTTCAAAATCTCTCTCATAAACAGCTGATGAATAAAATCGATAACAATGTCCAGGTCCAGTACGTCCAGCACGACCTGCACGTTGGCTTGCACTGGCTTTGCTAATCCATCCGACTTCGAAACTTTGTACACCAGTTGTTTTATCGTATTTGCGTTCTTTTGATCTTCCACAATCGAAAACATAACGAATACCAGGGATTGTAAGAGAAGTTTCAGCAACGTTAGTGGCCAATACAATCAGCCGTGAACCATCTGGGGGTGGTTCGAAAACTCTCAACTGTTCTTTCGTAGGCAGTAAGGAATACAATGGTAATATGTGCATCTTTGAAGGTCCAGTATCTGCTTCTTCTCCGATATCAAAATCTTCATCATCATTAAACGTAACTTCATCATCATCATCGACGTAATCGTCATTGGACGTGTCCATAGTTTCACCAAAATCGATATCTTCAGCTTCCATAGGTGCATCTTTTCCGGATATGCGAACTTGTGGTCCTGTGGTAGTAGAGCCTATTTTAAAAGCTTCTTTCAATTTTTTGCTGAGATGTGTGATTTCATTCTGACCAGTTAAGAATACCAAAATTCCTCCTGGAGGAAGTTTGCGATGTCCTTTGCTAATCTTTCTGAATGCTTCTTCGACATAATCATGATGGGTCTTTCGGGCGAAATGAGTAGTGACCGGGTATTGTCTACCCTCTGCTTGAAGTACCGGTGGTGGAGTAGAAAATAATGTCTTGTTCTCTGTAAAATCTGTAATTCGTAGAGTAGCGGACATGATAATAAGTTTCAATGGTTTGATAGACGGATCTTCTTCAGCCATTTCCTCTCTTAACTTTACCACTCGACTGAGCATACCAATAAGAATGTCGGTATTCACGCTCCTCTCGTGAGCTTCATCAATAACAATGGCGGAGTATTTTCTCAGAGCAATATCTTGTGCAACCTCTCTCAAAAGTACACCATCCGTCATGAATTTGATAGCAGTTTCTGAACTTACTGTTCCCTCGAATCGAATTTGATAGGCGACTCGCTTACCATGATCAGCAAGCTCATCACCTACACGTTTTGCCATACTGACGGCTGCAACTCTTCGAGGTTGTGTAACTCCAATCATTCCAGGATTGGGTGAATCTTTAGTACCATAGCCAGCTTCGTATAAGAATTGTGGTACTTGAGTGGTTTTTCCAGAACCTGTAGCACCATACACAACCACTAAGTTATTGTTATGAATTGCTTCCATAATTTTCTGTTCTTCGGCTACGACTGGGAGCTTGAGTCTGACATCTTGAATACTTGCAGGTCTTCTATCGAAACACTAAATGCCTTCCGTGAAAGATTGGTAGTTGGTTGTAATTCCACTGGTAAAGGATCCTGTTCTAAGGCCGAGGTTCGAACCCTTCTATTCTTGGCGTTTCTGTCGCAATTGGAATATTTGATGATGGTTCGTATCCATAAGCTTCGTTTACTTGTTGAGTTGCCCAGGCTTTGAACGCAGATGAGCGTTCCTGTTTCCTCGAGGCAGCCTCGTCCGCATCTTCCTCTTCGCTACTCTCTTTGCTATCATCTTCATCGCTGTCTTCGTCTGACGATCCTTCTTCATTGTTCTCTTCTTTATCGTTTCCAAGCACTGATTGAAGGGCCCCCCTCTTTACTTTCTTCGAAAATGGACATAATGTTCTTTAATAGCTGGGCGTGTTCGGGGTCACTTGTCTCCTCGCTTTCTTCATCGTCTTCATCATGGCTGTCTTCATTACTGTCCTCATTCGAAGATCCTTCCTCACTGCTATCTTCCGAGTCGATCCCATCACCACCTTCGGCAAAAATTCCCGTAAGACGCTTCAATAACTCTGCACGTTTTTTGTCATCTGTCTCATCTGGCGTATTCGAATTGTCAGAATCCTCATCTGATTTCATCTCTTCATCACTATCAACCTCTGAATTCGAAGAAAATCCTTCCCATGCTGGTTCCGCGGCCGGCGCCTGTGGCTTCGATGATATCCTCGACTTAACACCTCCTCGCCTTTGTCGCTTTTTTATTACCGGCTTTCCGTCATCATCCACCTCGAGTGGTCTCTTTAAACCTGTGCCTACACCAAATTGTAATGTTTGCGCGGGCACTTTTGGTGTCGGAGCGGAAGATGTCGCAGTCGCAGTACCCTGGAAAGGACCGCTCTCCTTCTTTTGATCGATTTCATCGTCATCCTCTTCACTACTTCGCTTTCCATCTCCCTAACCGTCCTCTTTTCGAACAGTAGTTCTTCTCCATCTCCATCGATATCAATGCCTCTCTCCCTCTCCTTCAGCGCTCGCGCCAATCTTTCTCTCCTGGTTAATGAACCCTGACCTAATTTCTTGCTACTCTCATACAATCCTCCCTCTTCTTTCTTCTTTGATAGCTTTTCGATTAATATCCTATTTTCATCCTTCCTCAGCTTCGTCTCGATGTATTTCTCCAATCTTTTCGCTTTTTTCCCACTAATCTTATTCTCCCCTGCGAGCTCTGCCTTCAATTTCTGCTTCTTTTCTTCATGTGCGGCTTTCGAGGAGGGGAGGATCTCTGTCGCATTGGAGTCCACAAGTGCCTCGGAATCATTGACTTTATTTCTCGCAAGCACTTTATGCTTTCGCTGTCGAGGCGTAAATTTAGGAGGCATATTTAGTATATTTCAATCCACTGACTGACTGTAGACAATTTGTTGTGAAAATTATGTTTTTTCTGTGCTTGTGAGATTCTAGTCGGGAACTTTTTTCTGCCGAATCGCCCACCGCCCTTCAATCTTTAATCAATAAAATGCGGGGCCAAGGCAATCCGAGGAAATCTTCGAAAGAGCTCACTGGGGGATTTTATTGCCTGAAAAGCTCGACATTTTTATCATAATATTCAATTTTCTGAGAAGCAACTCTCCCCCCTCAGATGCAAACATAAACTAGATGACAAGTGTGTAAGATCCCAAGTTTTGGGATGATTACATGCAATCTGGATTCGATATATATCATTATCACAAAAATTTGAGAAAGTATTGTATTCATTGGCCAGATGATAGGTGTGAGAAAAGGGTATTGAATAAAACAGAGTAGAAGGAAAAGCGAATTGTTCAATATTTCTAGTAATCATACTTTCTTCAAGAGCTGAAGAGCTGAAAGGAGAAAAAAGCACAATGCAAGTGATATGTGATATGTGAATTACATAGAAAAGTCGAGTCAGAATTGACCCTTAGTGAAGCCCTACAATAGTCCAGCTGTTCCTTTCCAATCCAGGTCAAATGGCGTTTGGTTCTATGAAAGCTGATGGCTTTAGTCGTGGTTCATTCGGTCTCTTTTCTCCCCCAAATCGAGCATCAACTATATGAGATGTAGATATTTATGTTAGTGATTGGCGAAACAACCGGAAAAGCAAGAAGAGCTGAAATTAGAAAGCAACCCGAGGTTCTCTTTTCACAGCAAGCATCCTAGAGGCTTTCTCGTACTGCCCTTTTGTCTTCTGTCATGTACTCCATATAGCCTCTTGGTCGTCACTTGAGATCTCGAGATGTCTCGAGGATATGTGGGATCTGACAGGTCAGGAAGACCCTCGACATGTAAGATTGCACTGGAATAGTATGCTACAACAATAGTAGCCTCCTAAGACAGACTTGCCGCTCAATGACTGGTCCACGAGAACCATACCATGATTCATGAGAATATATGACCGTCTATTGAAGTATAATGTAATTTGTTGTGCTTTGGATAGGTCTCATAAGAGCTCGACCTTTCTTGAAATACACGGTGAAATCAATGATTTATGATTAGCTGTTGGATTTGATACTCGAGGACTCCATCCGGGACTATCGAATATCAATCTGGACCAGATGATCAACGTCATGGCTATCCATTGCACTAGCGGCCGCTACCATCCCTCCAGCTTCTCGGTATCTTCCGTCACCATTCGTCGATGTAAATACAAATCCATTACCATTGAGGTTCCGTACGTACGGTCCTTAATACAATACCCATCTGAATGATTCTCAGATACGGCGCATACAGCAGATCTACTATTCTCAATACATCAATACATCAGTACATCAGTACATCAATACATCAGTACATCAGTACATCAATACATCAGTACATCAATACATCAGTACATCAGTACATCAACGCATCAATAGAATTGACTACTTAACCTTTGCATTGCGACATCGCATACACAACAACTCTCGATACCTACCTAGTAGTTAAGTCCGTTCAGATCATCGGATTCTTGAATTATTTTGCGACCTCTCGCACACTCAACAGCATCTCTCTACCTTCTATCACATCATAACCATGGCACCACAAGATCCCCCTCTTGATGAGATACAATGGAGCCATCCAATGTGGCTTGCTGGGAATTCAGGTCTTCATGAAAATACCGTTCTTCATTACTTTGCGCAGTCACCATTTTTTGATCCCACCTCAAATAATGCAGTCCTGACGACTCAAGCTTCGCTCAATCCAAACATGATGTACATCCTTGGCACTCGTAGTGCTTTTGAGAGCCGACTCAAAACTATGTCTGGACTGGAATTTTTAGTTGCGCAAGAACCTGCAGAGATGGCTCCGGGTACTGGCACTGGAGTATGGGTAATTAGTAAGCAAACGAGAAGAAAGAGAGCTCAAGACGACGATGAAATTACAAAACATGCATCGTATTTTGTAGTGGGAGAGAACATTTATATGGCTCCTACTGTCGCAGATGTACTGGGCAGTAGAATGGTATTGATAATTTTCCAATTCAAATTTATTGTCGCTAATAGCAATGCAGTTATCAATCTTCACCTCACTCACCAATGCCATTTCGAAAGCATCCGAATTACCCAATTTTTCTCCCTCTCTCGGTCATACATATATGCCACCAGTTCCACCTCGAGCAAAAGCCATCGCATCAGCTTTCTCTCAGGCTTCCAAAGAGAATACACCATTGCCCGATTCCCTTGCAACTGAAGCCAAGAATCCCTCCACAAATATCTCCAACAACGTACTCGCAAATCATCTTCTTGAAGAAACTCTTAACATATCGCTCAGATATGGCGATGAATATATGGATGAGAATCCTATTACCGGAACTCCAGGTGATTTCCATTTCAGCACAACCGGTCGGAAGGAAAAAGAAAAGCTTATGGTACCACCAACATCAAAACCAGCAGGCTTTAGCCTGAGTGGTAAACCTGCACCTCCTACTCCATTAAAAACAGATTTGGGCATGCCAAAGAAAGGAAACAAGGGAGAGAAGAGCCCTAGAACTCCAGGATCAGGAAAACCTAAAAGAAGAAAGAGTAAAGTGATGAATGGAGGGGTGAGTCCTACATAGAATGGACAAAGGTTTCAGATACGGACCAGTTGTAGAGTACATCACCTACATATAAGGGTTTCAAGGCGTTATGGAGGATATACCAATACCGAACAAAGTAATAGAATCGGACAAACTCATATAATAACGATACAATGAAGAAATAATCACATCATATACATATCATCTACTCCCACTCATAACCACCAACCTAACTTAAATGCAAGCACCCACAACCACAACTCTCACACATCTTCCCAACCAAACTAAAAATCAAGACGTGCAACAAAACGTTTCATTTTCTGTTAATTAATGCAAGTATCTGCTGAGCGAAGACCAAGTATAGTTTAGAAGGATTAGCATGCTTACAGTGTGCAGCTATAGCCAGTTTACCCTGTCTAGTTGTTTTAGGGTGGTGTTGTGTGGAAGCTAAGTTGGCTGTGGTGTTGGGATTACTGGTGAGGATTTATGCGCATGAGATTGTGTGGATGGCATGGATTGGGGGCATGGATATATAGAGGGCATATTGCTGAAAGCTAATGTTGGAGCTAATGTGGGAGGAATCCGATGCTTCGATGTTGTTGATAAGGCTAGCAAGCATAGGAAAAGAAATATGGGATGAACTCGAGGGATTGGAGGGAAAGGGTGGGGTATGAATCGTATTGAGTTACCTTTCGTTGGGGTTATAAGAGCTCGGAAGAGTATATTACAATTTTATAGTTATCGTTGTCTTGATTCTTTGGTTGAGAATCGCACATGTGTTTTATTTATCCAGCTTCTAATACCTAGGTAGGTATAATAAACTTTGATTTCACTCCTATCACGTTCAAGTAAGCAAGCATTCATATCTCTGCACAAAATTATGCACACCTACATATCTGCATAACCAAGCTACCTCGCCTGTGGCCGTGGCACAGCGCGTCTAGTGCGTTTCATCTAACCATTTCATCCAAACTCACCAAATCGCAAACAACGGTTCGTTTTATCAAATGAGCGTAAACGTCCCGCGGCGGCACGACCCAGATTCTACATGCTTCATCCCTATGAATCTATTTTGGTCATTGAAAGGGTAGCACGCTGGGATACAAGGCTACATAGGTTAAACGGGCTAGAAAAGCTAGGCGAGTTAGTTGTTGTACGAGTAATGGGTGTGCATTGGTGTTGATTTTAGCTTTTGGGGGATGCGAATGAGAAGAATAATAGGATTTATGGGAGAGAGAGAAAGGGATAAATTGTTATATGAAGATATGGAGAGGTTATTTGTTGAAGATAGCTATTAATGATTACTAAAATCTATCTGTCAATCCGAATACTAGGTACTCCTGACCATATACCAACATGAGGAAATTCCCTTTTCATAATAGTCCAACAATCAACAATCCACAACCCATCCTCACTTCGCTTCTCAACTTTAGTCGCCAAAAGGCTCCAAGCACCGCGCAACCAACGTCTCGCATTAAAGCCACCACATCCTTTTTAAATTTGTACTGCAAGGAAGAAACCACACTAGATTCACTCTCAACATCCACATTGCGCATTTGTTGCACATCTGCATTTTTAGTGGCGTTCAGGGTTTGCAAACCATTGCCAGATAGTTCAATCTTAGTCCCCCAAAATCCCTTGCAAAATCTCACGACAGCCGGGATTTTGCATCGTCGCCGCCACCACCAATTTTCTGTGGCACCGGATGTCGGATCCACTCTTTTAGTAAAAGGAGTTGGAAGTGTGAACTAACTAACTATTTTGATTTAGAAAGGGGAGAGGAGATGCTTTTGTTGCACGTCTTGTTTTTTAGTGGCGTCTTGATCTTGAGATTTTCGCATCTTGCTGATGGATGTCTTTACACACACAATCGCACGCAACACAAGAGGTCGGCGTCTCGCATCAGCCACCCACACCAACAATCTGCATAGACTGTGCCACCTTTGTCCATCCCTACACTCTATGGCCACCTTACCTACCCAATAGTTCTACATCTACCGAAACCATCACACCCACCAGGAATAAAATAAATACCTACCTGCACACCACTCCCTCTGTCTGTTGCACATCTACATCTCTAGTGGCGTCAATGCATCCGCTTCGTTTTATGTCAAATCTTAAATACCCAAACGCCCCTGTTGAACTAGCGAGTTGTCGGGCGTTTCACTGGCGGATTAGCCACCACACCTCACCACTCCACGACCGTTGTCTCTGCGCCGTACGTGATCTAACCGTAATGCTCACAGCGCGCAGGGAGAGAAGATTGTAATTTACCATTTAGATTGGATTGTATTTGTTTTGTTGCACGTCTAGTTTTCTAGTGGCGTTCTATTCTCATCTTTAATCTTCGGTGCTCAATTCTCAACCCCTTTAATTCATCCATTCATTCAATCTAAATAGGCATTGTAGCTGTTCAACTAATATCCACAACCATCCACATCGACAACCACAACCATCCATTCGCAAACCCGGTACTCCAATCTCCAGAGCACCACACCATCTACCCGCAAACCCCATCAAATAAAAGCTTCACCTTACCTAGGTCTAGGTACACCCGAAAATCAAAGTGTTGCACATCTACATCTCTAGGTGGCGTCTCCTTCGTATCCGAAATCCCAAATCCCACCCTCAAACCCCAGTCTAGTCCGGCGTCTCGCATTCCGCATCCGCTGAAGCCGTGCCACACTCATCCACACATCCACACTCATCCACATCCAACCTCACCTGCACCCCCAACCACATATAACCCCTTACCAAATATGCACAGCGGATCGAAATAAATCCTAGATAGACAAATACATTTGTTGCACATCTATATCTCTAGTGGCGTCACGACTCCACCGATTAACAAAGTTTTGTTTTGAATTCAAGCTTTTCTCCTCCCGAGGTCTTCCTTCATCCCTCCCTGTTAGGTAATTCTAGAACCAACAGCCACACATCCATCCACCCACTTTCCTCCACCATCCACCTCCCAGCATTTACCAACCAACCCACACCATTTCATTCCCGACCTCCCTCCCACGCTAACCACCCACCGCTAAACCATCCATCCATCCATCCATCCATCCCAATCCCATCCATCCCTTCACATTGTTGCACATCTATTCTCTTAGTAGCGTCCGGAATACATACATATCCATATATTCGCACTCCGCTTCTTCACTCCCAACTCCCAACTCCCAACTCCCAACTTCCAACTCCCAACTTCCAACTCCCAACTTCCAACTCCCAACTTCCAACTCCCAACTTCCAACTCCCAAGCTTAATTATCTGTCTTTACGGAGTACCAAGACGAAGTTAAACTAACCCCTTAATATACATCACATCTCGCATCCCCATCTCCATTCACCTATTTAGAAATTAGACATGTTATACTACTTCATATACCATTACTAAACCATCGATAAACATAACCCATCAAGTGAGTGAGGTTATATACTTCGCAACGAGAAGACACAGTATATGAATTATAGATTATCTATCCAATCCATCTACTTCTCTACTCTCTTTGCCTCGTTATCCTAACTTGAGCAAATCCCAAAAAAAATCCATAGAGGGATTTTCCCAATCCCAATCCCAATCCCAACACCAATACCATCTCACAATTTCTTTATATAAATACTAGGTACACAGTCTAGATTTACATATCCATTGCTATGCTAACAAATTGATAAAATCGAAGTTGATGGATTGATAATTGCGGGTATACTTCGGGTAAGCTATTATAGATAGTGTGTTTTATATTCTAATTACGGTAAGTTGAGAAGATACTTTGTCAGGAAATTAATGTGTCAAGCTTAAATATTAGTATTGTTACCTGGTTAAATTGCATCGAGGAGATTTTATAAATATAATACGATGTAATATGTGTAGTGTTTCGGATCACATGAATTATACATACATACATGTATACATGTATACAGATACGTAAGATTTTACATATATAGCATTCCCCTATTTCTCTACTACACCACCAACATTCCAAGCAACAATCACTTATCTTACGAGTATACCATCCACTCTTCTCCTACACCCCCGCTCAATTTTTCTCCTCTCTCACATTCGAGTTATCTTTTTCCGGCGTCCCTACAGCTCCCTCTCCCGCTTCCTCTCTACTCGCCACACTTCCCCATCCACTCGCCACCCCCTCTGTTCTCTCTTCCTCTCTAACATAATCCTTAACCTCTCTCCACTCCGAAAGCGCATATTGAACTTCCACCGGCCAATACCAGCAAAGCCCCCAATAGACCAGAAAACTCACAAACAGTCCAATCGGATACGCAAAGTAGTATGCTCGTGTGACACCCATTGGAGCTTTAACTCCCATGTTATTCAAAAAGCCGTAGAAGTTAGGTATGATACCAATGACATATGCTGCATACGCGCGCCAATTCCAGCCGCCTTTGTAATGATACGCGGCTTTTTTATCCGAGGTGTACAGATCTGGGATTTTTAGGAAACCGCGGGCGATGACGAAGTAGTGGCAAAGAAGAACGCCGGTGATGGCTGAGAGAAAAATTTGGTAGGAGGCAAGGAAGGAGATGAAGATTACGGCCGATTTGAGGAGGTACCAGGGTTGAATTACTATGGAGATGACGGCGCAGATGGAAGAAAACCGGTGCGGATGGATATGTATTTTGGGACTAGGAAGATGATTATCAGAAACCATCCGGATATCGTATATGGGAGATTTTAGGATGAAGTGAAGAGAAAGTTGTTGACTTACAAAGAGCAGCGATATCGTTTCCAGCTGGAATAGAATTTTCAAAGATCGAAGAGAAGATTGCGGAATAAGAGAAGCAAGCGGCGATGAAGAAGCACCCAGCTCGAGTTGGACCATCATATGTTCGTTCAAGAATTTGGTCAAGGTATGTAAGGGGAGACCAGATGATTTCGCCGAAAAGTACTTGACTCGAAGAGCTTACTAGATTACCGATGATAGATACGATTAACTATTGCGCATATTAGTATGAGAACGTTAAGAGACAAGTTTATATCGGCGAAGCAAAGCAATAATACGAACATTGGAGATGGGAAATCCGACTAAGTTTCCCCAGATAACATCGTTTGGTTTACGTGCATAACGTTGGAAATCGGCCGCGTTGGAAGCAAATGTGGCACAATTTGCAGCTCCAAGAAGTATGAATCGTACGAGAAGCCATGATCGTTCTGAACCTTTGACAGTACCTGGTTGACGAGCGACAGGTCCGATACCGCCTGCCATGGTCAAAGTCCATGCGCACATAGCAATCGCAGAAATGATAAAGACGATAAGTTTGGCGTATACAAGACCTGTCATCTGTTCTCGCATTAGTACTGACAATTGCAATTAGTACTTAAATGGGACCAACCTTTGGGACAGGAATAATAAGAAAGCAGCAAGTGAGAACCCAAAAGATTCCAAGTCCAAGCATACCGCCCGAATCAAGAGCCGATCCCTCTCCCATGACATTCTTGAAGTTGGCAACACGTGGACTGAGGGTATGAAGCATAACATAAATGCATTCGCCTCCTTGGACCGCATTAACACCATTCCAAACAATAGCCATCACAGCACGGTTGAAAGTAGGCCACCATGCACCGAAGACACCAAATGCCGCTCTGTTTAGTATAGGGTAACCACTAAATGATGAAAGTATTGTCAGCGGAGGTGAAACATTGAAAACTTGCGAGATCTTGAGGGTCACTGAGAGAAGTGGAAGATTCATCCAATATCAAGATATACAAATAGAAGATGTTGGATACAAGGGTGGACGATCGGAAGTGTCCATCCAATCAAAGCAGGACAGGAATAAGAATATTTCAAACTCACATGTGATACACAGCTCCCGATCTACCATTGAATACGATGACAATAGCAATCAAACATTGACCACCAAAAGCACACAGAACCGATTCCCACATACTCAATCCCAAAGCTTGGGCACTCGAAGCCGCATACCATGTTGAAACCGTCGAAGCTATCACAATACATGTCAGTATCAAATTCAAACCCGTGTAATCAATCGCAATGATAGCATCGAAGGACTTACTTGCAGAAAACCAAAAGGTAAGATAAGTCAAAACATTCCAAGTACGATCGGCTAATTTTAAAGGTCGAATATCATCATTATCTAACCAATTGTCCTTCCCATGAACATTCGCGGTTCCCTTTGCTTCGAAATGTGGATTTCGCAGTTTTCGCCGTAGAACACCGAAGAGGTTCGAAACCATATTGAGAATGAATGCGTGATGGACGCGATTAGCTCACGCAATAGAGATATCGATGTAGGTGTTGATGTTGATGTTGATGTTGATGTTGATGTTGATGTTGATGTTGATGTTGATGTTGATGTTGATGTTGATGTTGATGTTGATGTTGATGTTGATGTTGATGTTGATGTTGATGTTGATGTTGATGTTGATGTTGATGTTGATGTTGATGTTGATGTTGATGTTGATGTTGATGTTGATGTTGATGTTGATGTTGATATTGGTACTGGTACTGGTACTGGTATTGGTATTGGTATATGTATTGGTATTGTTAGTGGTATTAAGTTTAATGAAGAATAGAAACGGATAGAAGGGAAGAAGAGCAGAGACTACCGGGTACTAACGGTAGAGTAGACTGGTCGATATGTCATCTATGAGGTCAATATATACATTTCTCTAGGTCTACCTAGCAGGTGGTACAAAGATGTACTACCCATCCAATCCCCCACCAGATAAGTATCGCGCTGAGTATGGATAATACATCAGTCCAACATTCAATTCACCACATAATCCGTACATACGCACTCTCCTTCCCAAAGAAAAGTACCTGCAGAAACTCATCAAGGAAGAAAAGATACAAATCTGCAATGTAACATGATTTTATCAGTCATGGTAGTTCCTCGCAGCCATGCATGGCATAAACCGGTGTCGTTCCCGCTCTGAGATTAGATGTAACCAACCAAACATTGTATCTCTCCAAAGCTGCTGTACCCCAAGACTCCAATTGAGGATTTCGGTAATGCAGAATCATACACGCTCGTGTGCGCCAACGTACGCCAATGTCAAACTTGTCATCAGACTCATCCAGACCTTGTCCGCCAGGAAATATGCACGAGAAAACGAGGGTTTGACATCTTGGTACTATGTGAGATCGAAATATATGTGAGTAGCCGTGGGTTTTAAATGAAGGAATGATGTGATACGAATGGATAGTTACAGATGAAACGTTGATATGTTGATGTTGATGTTGATGCTGTGTTACTATTTATTATTCTACACGTGATGAGTTATATTACGACCTACTTAGTATCGTAGATAGATACCTAGGTATTTCGTAAAAGCTGTGACTTTTGATCGATGCAGGGGTTAAGATCGTCTGAAGTCAGAATATCCAATTGAAGCTTGTGAAGAGTGAAGACCTCGGGAGTGAGTGAAGAGTGGCTCGGGAGTGGAGATTGGGAGAGTGAAGAGTGGAGATTTACGATAAGCTTAAGAAGATAGAGCGATAACCATCAAGCGATAGTGGGATTCCCAAGTGATTTTTTATCTTTTCCAAGACTGTTATCAATCTCCCTCCTATCACTGGCCAAAAAGATAAATTGTGAAGATATACCTTGAGTCTTGGAATGCTTGAATCTTTTATTCATACAAATCTGCATTGGGATATACACATCATATATATCAATCATTCAATAGATTAATTCACTACAATTCTCGGAACTCACCGAATTCACCATCGCATCTGACCGTTTTGGCGGGGTACAGTCAGCCACCATTTACCTACAGATACTTAATCATTTATCCATCCCCTTGATCGTCTCTCTGCACCCAAAACCAAGCTTTTAAACGCCTCTCGTATCTCTCCTTCCTACAATCTTTTCAACCTATCACTTACCAACATTACAATCTCGCCATGTCTTCCCCCACACCCCCCACAACGACAAAACTGGAGCTGCGCACAGCCTATGGTCCTGTCTATCGCGATGTACTCAACACACCACCTCGTCCTTGTACAGATACAGAGATTCCTATCATTGATCTTTCGAATATAGATTCTCCCAATTTGAGCGATCGTCAAGCATTAGCTGCAGAAGTACGTGCTGCGGCGGTGGGGACGGGGTTCTTTTATGTGAAGAATCATGGTATTGAAGAGGCAGTTATTCAGAAGGCAAAAGAGCAGGCTTTGAGGTGAGTCTTTGGGTGGAAAGGGAGTGGATGAGGAAGAAGAAACAAGATGATCGGGAGAGGCTATGAGGTTGAGAATAGTTGTCTTAATGCTCAGTGCTTCTCCTTTGAACATCGGAGGCAACGAGTATCATTAGCGAACAGATGGACAAAAGCTAATATAAAATCACGGAGAACAGTTTCTTCAAACAGCCATACGAAGAAAAAGCAAAGATAGACAAAAGTCATTCCCGTTACTTTAATGGCTACATGGGATTAAAAAGTTCAAACATAAGCCCCGGAGAAAGTGTAGATGTCAAAGAATCCGTTTGTCTCCCTAGCCGAACCCCCTCCATCCCCCTTTCCATCTCCACCAAACTAACATCCCCAGATTGCCTGGCGCTACGAGCCCGAAAATGATCCAGATCACCCCCAGCCCCTTTCATCCATCCCCTCGGAGGTAAAACCCTGGATCCGAGGCGAACCCTTCGTCTGGGAAGGAACTTCGCATCTCCCCAATTTCAAAACCGACACTCTCGCCTATTGGAAATCCTGTCTCTCACTCGCGCGCAAACTCGTCCGAGTCTTCGCTCTCAGTCTCTCCCTCCCAGAAGACTATTTCGATTCCCGCGTTACCTACCCCGGAGCAGATGGCCTCTACAATTACTACCCACCCAGTACCGAAGCTGAAAGATCAAACAACAGTGTAGGACTCGGTTCTCATACCGATCTCCAACTTTTTACTCTCCTCTGGCAAGATATGATAGGCGGTCTCCAAGTATTAAACAAAGAAGGTCAATGGATCATGGCGGTTCCAGTGGAAGGAACGATAGTTGTTAATATTGGCGATTTTATGATGAGACTTTGCAATGATATGTATAAGAGTACCGTTCATCGAGTTTACAACCGAGCAACCGTGGAGAGAATTTCCATGCCGTTTTTTCTTCGGTAAGGTTCCTTTTCCTTGTCAAGATGTCTGAAGGAGAGTGCTAATATGGTGATAGGACTCAATTTCAATTGTGTCGAAGGTGTAATCTCTACTTGTACTGATGAGAATAATCCTCCCAAATATGAGCCGATATCTTGTGGTGATTGTAAGTATTTAGATCCATATCATTCAAATCATTCTCAGAATCTCACAGCTAACAAATCAGGGTGTCAACTTAGGTTCAAACTGGAGAATGATGAGTTCAAAGAGAAGGCTGCACTGGCAAAAGCACCCAGTGCTGTTGTTGTCAAGGCTTAAGATTGTATCAAAACGACTTCATGTCGAGTTTTCGGAAATGGGAGACACTCTGTGATCAACTACTATTGCAAAATAAGTTTGGATATAGAGGACCATTTATCACATCATAAATAATATATCGATTGTATCTTTACAATAGTTAAAAATTGCATTTAGTCTATTGAATAAAAATTGAAATTCCATCTGATATGGCCATTTCAATACATGTGCTCTGCTAGATATTCTTTTCAAAAGTCACGAGTATCATCAGGTCCTCAACGACCCGCATCAACAACGCGGAGCTTATGTGACCATTCCAAATATCGCCGACGTATCTACGAGCTTCCACTCGAGGTAAGAGGTACCCATGATATCAAGTTCCTACGCAGAACTTCATAGATTGACAATCCACGGAGTTCACATACATGCCAGAGTTTTGACATGTATGCTCTACTAGTGAATAGAGGGATTCTTGATGGTAAGAGTCGAGAGATGAAAATGGTAATTGGAGAGTCGAATGTTCGTGTAAATGCCAAGCGCGACTTCTTGCGCGAGGAGAGCTTGTGGAGAAGTTTATTCGTGCGGTTGTTGACATGCTTTGCAAGTGACCAGGACCGTATGGTCGATATTGGCATTTCCTTGTCGCATTCATGTGCTGCATGATTTCGATATATCGATCGCATATAACCTCCATCCCCCACAGAAATACCCCTTCACATCTTACTCCCACACATTCCTTAACCTTTAATCTCCATTCCCCCTCACAGAACCCCCTGAACCAACTCCAACAAATCAAAATACCCCTCCCTCTCCCCCTCCCTCGCCTCTTTCTCTCCCAGCTCCAACCCCAACCCCACCAACACCGTCCTCCTCTCCTCCGGATCCCGTCCCAAGATCATCGACCCTATCTGACTCGCATACAAATGACCAATCCTCTCTCTCTTCTCCCCCCCCGCACCAAGTAACGTTCTCGGAGTGAGGTGTTCAAGCGGGAGTATCATATTTCCATTTCCATTTCCATACGCATCTCCGGATTCATTCGCAGCTGATGGGAGCGGTATCGACGTATCGTACGATGTGGGAGATGCGGATGTGAGTGGGACTTGCATCTGTGAGGCGTTAGTGGAATGCATGCTCTTCGCTATATGACTTGTGAGTTGGTGAAGAGGTGTGGGGGAAACAAACCCATTGTCCTAATCTCCCCCCTTGTGTGATGGTAATGAGAATCTTGTCGGCGAAATACAAGCAGGATACATTTGTATCAATGCCGTTTACTTTCGCAGAAGCGGTTTTGGAACGGGCGGGGAAGGGGGATGGGAGGATTTCTGAAATGGAGGGAAAGTTTGGGGGGGTGGTGAGTGCGGTCATGATGGGCTGGATAGGGTATGGAGGTAAAATATGTGAGATTTGGGATTTTTGTGGTGGAGATGTGGTTCATTTATTTATTTGTTGTAATGGGATGGAGAATGAGAAAGTGTAGTGAGGGGAAGATGTCAGCCTTGCTGCAAGCTGGAGAGCTTTGACATTTGAAAATGCCTACGTAGGTGGCTCAAGCTTCAATCCCAAAACTAGAGCTCACCGGGATCCAAGGTCACCGGGAGCTAAAGATTGTGCGTCATTACTAAGTATTGAAGTTCTCATGTTTCGGAGCGTAGCGAAAGAAACTTATACATCGGATTTTACGGACTTTTTATATGGTGTAATATAGATTATATTTTCTATATCTAGGACTTTAATTTGTATATGATTATATGATCTGTATATAGTTATATAATTAACGTCTTTTATTATGAGTTTAATTGTATAAAAAAAAAAGAATTAAAAAAATATTAGAAGATTGAGTGGAAGAGGCCTCTATATTGACTATATAGTTCTGTGTATAAACATATTAATCTCCCCGTAATATTATATGAGGGGATCAATATACCTATCTATGGTTTGTTTAATCTAGCCCGTTTAGATAGCCGTTGTGACACTTTGCCTTAGAAGAACTGTGAGAGCAGGGTACAATTTATCCTTAGAATCTATAACTACAAAATCGGGAGCAAAGTGCTTGTAGAGCGCTTCTATATACTAGCTATGTACACGTGATCGTGCACGTGCGCAAGTGCGTATGTAAGCAATCGCAGTTGCGATTGGGTGCGATCCGTGATACTACTCCCCTTTTCGAAAAAGCTTGTTCTCAAGCTTCACAATTACCTAATTCGTAAACGTATCGGCAATCTCAATGAGACATCGTTGTTTATATTGTAGCATGGCGTGGTAAACGGGTGTATGCACAAATTTTGCTTTTTTCGCAACGGGAAGGCATATGGGAAATAGAGGAAACCGTTCTGTAGCCTAGCAACAACGCGAAGCCTTTGAAGCATATAGATCGCCTGAATTTCCCTTTCTCTTTCAAATCTTTTTTGGTTATTTATTTTTTTATATTTCTCAATCAATAATCAATATGCCTTTTATATCATTAAGAAAACGCAGTAGTAAGAGTAAGTTGTTGTTAGTGTAGCTGAAGTAGTAGGAGGATATGTATACAGCAATAAGTTATTTATTTTTCTTTTATATTTACTTTGCTAATATACTTTTTTATAGTTTGCAGTGAAGAGAGCGTTTGCCTTTTTTGTTATGTAAAGCAAGCGTTTTATTAAGAAAGAGAAGGAGTCGAGCTATAATGGGAATAACAGTGATTCTGTTGGTGAGGAGAAGAATGATGAGAAAGATAGATTGGATAATGAAGATGTATATAAATAAGGCTTTCTTTTGATATTTCCGACTTGTGGTCAGCTTATCTAACAAATACGATTACAGATGCTGAAGGCAATGTACCTGAGAATAGGGTTGATCTTCAATATGCTTATTGAATATATCCATTCCATTGTTTTTCGAAATAGAATTTAGAGGAAGAATATAATTCCTTAATCAATTATATTGATGATTACAAAAAGAAATTTGCTAATAAGTTAATCACAGCAATATATCATTTTCGTAATCTCGAAAATAATAACAAGATAATTGAAAAAGATATTCTGGAGGTTTTATATCAAAATCAACCTGATTGCAAATTCGATATATCCTATTACAAAAGCATTAGCTTTATTGATATTGATAAATAGGGATCTTTAAGTAAAAGATTATCAAAAAAGATAGTATTATAACAAAAACAATATATTCGGGAGAACAGCTAGATTTGTGCTGGCTGTATACACAATTGTATTTCTGATAAGGGAGATGGCGTCTACTATCGACTTTTTAAACAATTGTTTAATCAATCTCGCTGTTTGCTTTATTTGACTAATAAGTATAAATATAAACACTTGTTTAACAGGGATACACACAAAATGTTTTTCCAATACTGATTGATTGTTGCTGAGTATAGTAATATAGCAGAAATAAGTTATAACTTTGCTAGCTTTTAATAAAGTTAACTCTTAAGATAACTTGATATACAGAAAGAACTAAAAAGTTGTGTTTCGAAAGAAATACTTCTTCTTATTCTTACTTGAAAAGCCATGGAATGTTGTATGACAAAGGTTATAATGCAAAAAAACAAATTGGAGTAGCAGTATTAACTCGTTATAATTCAAATAAAAGCAAAGCTTTCGATAGTTTGTGAGTGGTTGGGTGTGATTGAGTACCAATTTAGTTTTATTATTGTATGTGCTGCAATTAAGGGTTATTTTATCTTTCGACTTGTAATTATCCTATGTATACTTGTTGTTGCTATTGGCTGAAGACTCAATTGATATTTCGATTTAAATCATTCAGTCTTTGTTGTTATACCTCGCCTGATCATAATTGTTAATAGTCATAGGGGCTTTCTTTCTAGCTTGATTTAAATCTATCGGATAGAGGAAAAGATTTTCTTTGTTGACATTTCATCTTTATCCAATTGCTTTCAACCTTTTGTACGATTAGGATTTTCTTTGTTACAATAATAAATTAAAGAAGTTCTTTTTATCTTTTTCATTTATATATTAATTGTTATCTATAAAATCGTAATCATCCTTTTTATTTTTATAAAAACAAATCCACTCCAATAAATATATAGAGGATTCTGATAGAATGGGATTTTGTAGATGAAAATCATGAAGATAATACAAAGCAGTTTTTAAGTCAAAGACAAAATATTAAATGAGATTGTCATTAGTATTCAGCCATGATACTTTATACTTAAACTATCGGCATACTTTCTTTATAGCTAGAATACACTCCACTTTCCATTCGGTATTACTAATAATATTTATTGGGGGTGGTGGTTCGAGAATTTGTTCGAAAAATGGATTATTTATTGCTTTGTGAAGCTTGCTAAATAAAAATATGGGGTGGATTTTTATAATAAACAATAAGTTTAATTGAAAGGAATCTCTAGCCCGACCAATAATCTTGAATTTCTTTTGAATAGGATAATCCAGTTTTTTGAATAGTTATTATATTGAAAAGTTCTTTATACTAAGCTATATATAATCTTTTATATCAAAATCAATTAAGTAGTAATATGAGTTAACCAATCGAAATATCTTTTCTTATATACACAAGATATTTTCTTTTGCTCGATTGAGTATTAGTTTATTGTGTTTGGCATATTTTCTAGTATTAATTATATTCAAATTATTAATAGATATAGTGGAATCGGATTTCTAATCCCAGGGATTGTAGGGTAAATAGTTATACAAAATCTTATACAGGATTTGACCATCTAATAATTTATAGAAAAGTGTAAGTTGAGCATAATCCATTATTAATAAGAATTCAAATTAATTATCTTAATAATAGTTTATAAAGAATTACAAGCGTTATTGGAAATATTGATTATAAATCTCAGTTTGACTGTCAGTTTACAAATAATGAGCGATAGATAACTTGACTTGCATTCCTAAGATATTATTGAATTCTTACTAGAATTTGGATATGAATTGAGGATTACAATTAGAGATTATAATCTCTGGGGTATTGTAGTATCTATATATATAATATAGGTATAAACAGACCTAATCTCTTGAATCGATTGATTTATAATAGAATATCGAAATAGCTTATTTGATCAATTGGTTAATAATAACAAATACATTGTTATAACTGTATTTATTCTTGTTGAAATTATAGTAATCCATAGTAATGTATTGCCATATTCATATAGAAATCGGAAACAGATAGAGGAAATCGGGAGTGCAATCTTTTAATACAAAGCTGCACTTACATTTGTAGCAATTTTATATATATTAATCGATTATATCGTTTATATTCTTTTAATAATATTGATTGGCTAAAAAAGTATAGATCTTTTTAACATTAGGGTATACAATAAAGACTGAATCGTGAACTTTGTAAATCAAATAGGTTTGCAGATTTTCGATATCCGGTATATAAAGTTGATCATTATAAAGCAAAAGTCCTTTCTCGAATATAAAATACTTATACGATTTGGTAATCTAAATATATAGAGCTTCTAAATTCGAATAGAATCTATTTACTTTAATAATATGATTTACAATATCGAAAAGCAATATAATTGTATATATATCGATATTTACAATTATATTTAGGTCTTACCGCAGAGATTTGTATATAATCTTTGTATTCATTTGATTATCTTTTATAAGCTGTTGAAGACGATTCTTCTTTTTAGTATTATTCTGTTAATCTAATTTGTTAGAATAATATATAAGTACATTTACGAATGAATTGTTCTTTTCAGTATAATATATAATGATAAAGTTATAATCAACGAATAATTCTACTCAGTATGCTTGTTAAATGTTTAGCTGTTTAATTGATATAAAGTATTCGAATACTTTATAATTAATATATATTTTGATCTAATATAAGGATTCAGCAAGTTTGGCTTTCTAATAGCCTAGGGATTTAATAATTACAAGTATTTCTTTATTATAAATTTTGTAATTCAATTTGATAGCGATTATTGTTTTCGAAAAGTAAATAACTGATAACTATTTATTACCATGCTTTTGAAATAGTATACTAGCGACTATACTATTGGATATATTGATTTCCAGTATATAGGGTAGTGTATAATTATAATACTATAGGAGAAAAATAGAGATAAGTTTATCTTTGAGTATATCAAATACAATTTGATAAATTTCATTGAAATGGAATTTGATATTTGCTTTTATAAGTTATGAAAAGGTTTTGCTATTATATTATAATCCTTAATGAATTAGTGGTAAAAGTTATAAAAATCTAAAAACGATTGGATATTCTTTATGGTAATAGGATAAGTTCAAATAGTAATCATTTTAATCTTTTCTAGATCGATTTGTATATTATCTATAAAGATAATAAAACCTAAATACTTTGTATATTTGATATTGAATTTGCATTTCTTAAGATTTATCTAAAGATCAACGGATTTAAATTTATTCGAGAATACATTTGATATGTTTCTTGTATTTATTTTTATTTTCAGGAATATATAAGAATATCATTGAGATAAGTAGTATAGAAGTTATCTAAATAGTTAAATAGAATATTGTTTATATATATTGATAAATTGTAGGGCTGTTTGTTAATCCAAAAAATAAAACTTTATATTTGTAGGAATTATATCGAGTGTGGAAGGTAATATATTCTTCGGAAGCTGAATTC